CACTCAGGACACACTTTCGTCCGCGCTGTGATTTAGCAGATGATGTTTTTCCACTTTTCAATTATGCGGAATAAATCTTCGATACAGTACCTCTTGAAACACTAAACACCTCGGCTACCTTGCTTACGGAAGCACCTACCATACGTGCTCCAACAATTTGCCCATGTTCGAAGTCTGTTAACTCTGACATAATGCAATGACAACCTCACATAACAGTACTCCGACAACAACTGAACTGTTTAGCACATTTACGAAGTTGTATAGATGGTGCCAGTAGTCAAAAATGCCAGCGCCACCTACATATTTCATTAAAATCAATCTTTCTTTTCAAACATGCATTTCACAAGGTGTTTCCATATTTTTGTCCATCCACTGTACATAAAAACGAACTGTTAGATAACATTAATTAAACTGGTTTGAATTAACAGAAGTTATTGGACTGCTACATAACTATTTGATCCACTGCAAATAACTACCATGCACTTGCAAAAAATACAATGTGATAGATATGAAATTATGGTTAAGATACAGTATTTTGGGGGATTCTGAATGGTATAACTAGATATTAAAGTATTTCCTGCGAATCAGAATATGTGAAAACCTTAGTGAACAGCATTATGTATATGCATAACTGAAATTTGAGAATGAAACTTTTGTATATTTGTATTTCCATATTTAACAAATGTAATCCTCCTGTTTTTATGAATTTCCATATGGTTTCTGACAATCTAAAATATCCATGAAAAAATATTAGTATAATAATCATGTACAGTACAAAGTCCGAAATCCAGACTCGTCGGGACTTTGTGATTCCGGATATTAGACCTTCAGTTTAAATCTAATAAGATGGCATGTAGAAATTATAAAATTAAAAATATGAAATCGTGATTCATGAAATAATGAAGTATTTATGATCTAAAGGGTATCCAAATTTTTTTTTAAAAAAATGCTTAATATTTATTTGTTTACCTTATTAAACATTTCTTTCAAAGTAGGTTGTTTAAGTTAATTTGTTTTTTGTGCTAAAACTTTCTCTTTAATTCTGTAGACAGATAATAATTCTCTTTAATTCTGTAGACAGATAATATTTCTCTTTAATTCTGTAGACTCTTGTTCAGTTTACATTGTTGAAGTCCTGTAACTGCTCCTTCGAGAATTCTAACTTGTCAACTGAAATTTTCTGATTTTCAGTAACTTCTCTGTCACTTTCTTCACTATTGGTAGCGGTATTTTCTAGATCTAGAACCATACTACAGATTTCTCTATTCATTAATTGATTGACGATTGAGAAGCATTGTCATAACAATGAAAAACTTATTTTATATCATCTTCATTTATTATCGCTTCTCCACAAAATCCATCAATTGGAAAATTTCACCTTTGTTTTGCGATATCCGGAAACCTTTATAATAAGTGGCTATCACCATCAAATTTAGTTATCCTTCACTATACATATTTGGCTATGCATCATGAGCTTGGTAACTAACGACAAGTTGTTCCGTTCAATTTTATCTTGCTTCTATCGTGCACTAAGATAATTAAGCCTGAATTGTGTTTGTTTAGTTATTTATTATACTTATGTCTATTTCTTGCACATTCTTAAGGCTTATCAGAGTTCTGAATAAATAAATCCCCACATATACTTAAGCCTTATTAAGGGCCGGCGCTAGATATCTTACTGCCTGATGCAGTCTCTGTGGATCTTAAATTCTACATGCCCGGGTCGCCTTATGAGCCCTGGCGCTGTTTCTGGGTTCATGTGAATAACAAATCAGTTATTCTTAATTCTAATATCCTTAAATGTAATCTTTGGGTCTATGAGTATCATCAACAGAATCTATTTTTTGCATTTGGAAAGAAATTCTTGTTAGATTTTTCCTCGTCAACATTTTTTAGCGTATTTAAGCTAAATCTGTAATCATTGCCAAGCATAATGTCAACATAAAAGGTTACCATACTCCTTTGTTATTCACATTATACTAACATTAAAAAAAAATGTTTAGGCATTGCTACATGAGTCATTACTCAAGTTGTCATGCATTGGATAAACATGCGGTGATGAAAGAAAAGTATAATAAATAATGATTCGCCAGGTTTGCGTCAGATCAACGATGTATCATCTATGTGGAATGTTTCGGTTTGAGATGTATGCCAATCAGATACGCAACAGCAAAGCCAAATTACTGAAAATCTACGTTAGTCTTTGATTACATTTTTGCCTATTTAAAGTTTACATTAGCATGTTTCTCTTCCAATTAAATTAATAACTATTTAATCTTCTGAATATCTAACTAAACTAACCTATATACCGAGATAATTAACAGTGAGTGTTTTTATGCTTGATTACTATGAATTATTGATCCCATATTTCTAATTATAAAACTTGTTAAAAACAAGTACTGGATAAACAGTCACAAAAATATGGCTGAGAAACACTTTGAAAAGAAATTATGTAGTTAGAAAAAGTAGTAGTAATTATATACTATTATTAGTAGTAGAAATTATATAGTAGAAAAGAAATTATGTAGTTATTATATAAAAAACTATACAGAAGTTATATTAATAACTTTTATATAATATCCATACAGTAAACATTTGATTTTAGAAAATAACTCATTTTAACTACATAAAGCATACTTGAACAACTCATTATTTTTTTAACAGAATTGAAAGGAAAGTTCTTTGATATTCCAAAACAAATTCAGTAAATATGGTATTTTTTCGGTAGATTAATAACCTAAATTCAAAACTTTTAATAACATAGTTACAGAACAAAAGCTATCTGTTATGGTGATGTGATTCTATCTTAAGCAAATCACCATTAAATTCACAAGGAACTTTTTTAATCGTAATGAAAACTAAATAAACATCTTATTAATTCCGTACTGTATCAGGGTTCATAGGCACATTTTAGTTAAAAAAATAAGCACCTATAAGCACTTTTCAAGCACATTTTAAGAAAAAATAAGCACTTGTCTAATTACATTATACACAACTGCATAACCTTAAAAATTAGACTCTTAATTTAAAATATGAGAAATGCAGTATTTATTAAGAGAGAATACGCATTACCTCAACCATGGAAAATAATTACCTTTTTTTTAATTTTAAATAACAGTTCAATTTACAGAACTAGTTTACAATGAGAGAAAAAAATTATGCAGAAATAAACTATATTACAAGATTTAATGATGAAATTTCAGTTCAAATAGAAGAAATAAATAATAATAAGGCATATTTATTCTATTCGCTTGGAACTTAATAATAAATACAATTTATTTTTCCACTCATATTGATATTTAACTAATTTAAATCTAAATTCTGACCATTTTCTAAATTTTCATCGTATATCAGGTTTTCCTTAACAGATATTGCAAGCAAAGTAATTTAAGTAAAAAAGAGGAACATTTCTGAAATCAGAAGACAGAAATTTGCTTCATGCAGTCATCCTTTAACAGTAAAAGCTTAGTTACCCGCATACTTGAAAATTGGCGATTATTCGGACAGTCGAGCGTAACTTGAAAAAGAGGAGCGGAAGGGGGATAGACTGTACCCGTTCTTTAAATTTTTCTGCTAAATAAATGCTTTTGACATTTCGATATGTGCATCATATAAAAACAAACCAACGGAACAAGAAAATATTTTGCTTTGCAAGCACAGTAAAACTCTTTTAAGTGTTCATAAACAAATCTCGGACCGAACATCAAAATTAAATCTCTGCAAAATATCGCAAACATTATTGCGCAATACGTGCAATGTAATTTTTCCCTACATGATATTACGCAATCGGATTCAACAGCTGCCGGTATTGGGAGAATAAAGAACTAAATGAAGGAAAAGAGAGACTTACCAATCTGGGGTGTTTTTCATTCTAATTTTCAACAGACTGTGTTAAATTTCCAGAATAGAATCATTCTTTGCTTGGGTTGGTAGACTGCAGAACTTTTAGTCCTATTCAATCCAGATTGGAAAGTGACAAAAAAAAAAAAAAAAGTCCGTTGCTCGTTTTGCAGCGACCTGTAACAGTTTCAATATTCGAGATTTTGCGGAGAAAGGGGAGAACCTCCCAACCTTCGTACTATATAATGTATTGCCCAAAAAAATGAAATTATTTTGACTATTCGATTACTTTCCCTTTATTTAAGCCATTCCGAATATTATTCCTTAGAAAGCTAATCTGTGTTAAAACACAACCATTTTTGGAAGTTTACTATACTTCAGCAGTTTCTGCAATTATGTTATTATAAACATTTATACATATGCTCATAATATAAGCATAATGATCATAATAAACACGAATATGAACTGACCAAGCGGAATGAGAATGCAAATTATTAAGATCTTGATAGAAATTCAAACGTGTGTAGTATTTGGGTGGGAGGAAAAGAATGCTGAATGTACCGGAATTTCCTACTGCATTCGCAATTCTTTGACCAATAGAACGATGGGCACCTGTCTGTACTCTTCATGCACACCAAAGGTTATGTTAATGCAGAGATAGGGGGGAAAGCTATTTCCGGGAGTATGATTCACCATCTGACATTCCATATTAGGAAGAAAAGTTGTTTATTTAGTTTCGGCTTTGGTACGGGGAAAAATAGCGCGTTCATTAAAAAAAAAGCCACTAAAAACAAACAAAATAAGGGCTTTAAAGAAAAAGTAAGCACCTATAAGGGCCTTTATATTTTATTTTCAAATATAAGGACTTATAAGCACTTATAAGGACCACTACGAACCCTGTGTATAACCTGAATAAAAGATTCACAAAATATACCCAACTAGGGCACTGAGACAGTTTTCATAAAATGTGCAAATAACTGGAAATGGAAACAAAATCTTATAATCTCCTCGTTCAAACATCCAGCATAATATAATACTGCTCAGAATACATTTTCAGTTCACTATATGCATTCAAATATTCAGAGAGACGTTTTCCATCAGTGAACGTAATCTGTAAAATGGATATTATTCAACTGTCAGTACAAATAAATCCCACACACCTGCAGAAAATATTTTGTCTTCATTTCCCGAACTCACCTGTGTAGTATGTCTTAATTTGTCTAATGCTAAGTTGATCTCTTGAACGGGATCAGGTGTGATCTGCATGTGACTTGAAAGCCCTCTGCAAAACTAATAAAATTCAAAGATTAAGAAACATACTGACCATGTGACAATTTTAATTTTTAGCTCAGTAAATTTCAATTAAACATTTGTTTTTTATTCACTTACATCTTCAGCTTGCTGAACTATCCTCATTTCAGTCTGAAGACAATGTTTAATGACTCTGACTAACTGTTGAGGATTAGTGGAATATTTAAGCTGCAAAGAGAACATTATTTAGTAAAACACAATAACAGGATATACTTAATTCTAATACTAGACAAAAGATTTGACTGATTTAAAAAACTTTAAATATATATATATAACTCTTAAAAATTCCAAAGAAAAGTATTTTTCAAATTTACCCGAAAAGCATTTGCAGCTTCACGTAGCTTTAAACGCATGACAAAATCATCTCCTGTTGAAACTTTTAGTTCCAACTGTTGAAATAAATTATTTACCAACTGAGCTGCATATGTATCATGCTGAGGATTATCTGGATCAAGTTCATTCCTAAAACATATTTCAAAAATATAACGGAAAAAAATCACAGCAACCATTAAAATTATTTAGGAAACAATGAAATTATTAATCATTAAATTATTCTCTTAAAAAATCAATTACAAAAAATCCTCTACAGTTACTTGTCAGTCAACTTACAATGCACAATGGAACGCAAAATTTCACACTTTCCTAAAAAAAAAAAAGTTTGACATCAGAAACCCTAATATTCCCTACATGTATTTGTGAATACTAGGCATTTTTCCTTGTTAAGTCCTTTATTCAGATATCTCTTCATTCAGGCAAACTGCTCTCATATGCCGTATCACACGTGATTAAAGACAAAAAATAATCAGCAAACTAACAAGATATCTTACAAATTATTTTTGTACTCAAATTGTGAAAATAATTTTGCTAAAATGATATTAAATGATGTCAAGGAAGGGTTTAGGCTAAAAATGTTAAATTTAAAAAAAAAAAAAAAAAAAAAAAACCTCATTTAGCAATCTTAATTCTGAAGACTATATTAGTATTATTAAATATATTTAAGAAAATCTTCCCAAATAATCAAAAATCATACAACAGTGTTAATATCAAAATATATTTGTAATTTTTTTTTTTTTTTTTTTTTTTTTTTTTTTTTTTTTTGTCATAGGAGACTGATTGAATGTAAAAAATTAGAATAAAACCCCCGAATAAAACTTAGATTTTTAGACAGCAGTTACCACATTGTTTTTGAAATCATATATAAAAAAAGAACAACTTCAAAAAGGAAAATCCATATTTCAAAATGAACACAAGAGTGACCTGTGAATTCACTAGCTCTTAACATGCAAATGAAAGCTCTAAATGCTACTGAACAACTACGGCCATTTGATTGAAAAACATCTTGCCATTAAAAGAAAAGGTGAATACTTTGAACAAGAAGTGCAATAATAACCATGTAAAGCAAACACAAAATTTCACTGCACAAAAATTGCTTCACAAATCTTTTATAAGCAAAAATGAATGAGGGATTATGTTAATTTCAACACTTCAAATCTTATAAATGACACTTGCATTTTTATATATTGTATCCATAGATGTGCCTACATGGTGTTTTTTTTCTGCAATCGCTGGTCATAGACATATACTTCAGGTTACAAAAATCTTTTAAATGGCAATTTACGATGTCGGCTTTTTAAATTTTTTTAAAAAAAATTGCAAAAACTATAAAATTTTATTTTTTTGTTAGCTTTTCCAATTCCCAACTTACATTTAAGAAAATGTGATTTTCGTTATTAAAAAAAAAAGTTTGATATTTGCAAGACAAAAATTGACAGAATAATATTTTGACAAAATAAATATATTATGTCATTTTAAATTGCATTCAGGGGTCAGTCAGTAAATAAATTAGAATAATTCAAGGTTGATTTTCTCCCTCTTAAATACTATTCAATGATTTACCTTTATGATTTACTAGTGTCTTCAGTTTATAATTTTTTTTTTTTTTTTTCATTTAATATGCCAAAACTTTCACACAACTAATTTTTCAAAGTCTAAAAATACATTATTAGTATTCTCAAGATTTATTACTTTAAAATCATAATCATAAGAAAATGTACTAAACTACAAATATTTTTTATTTTTAATTTATGCAAATAATATTAAGAGTTATGTACGTGCCAATGCTGAAACTTTGCTAGTGTTTTCTAGAACATGAGTTCTATAAGAAGAACATGAGTTCTATAAGAAGAACATGAGTTCTATATTTTTGTTAATAAGATATCCATTTGGAAATAATCTATACTTTTCACAATAATTTGCATAGAAATACTCACCACTCAATCTCTGAGTATCAAAAACGTTTTGCTAAACTCATATTTTATTTTTAATTTTGTACACATGCAAACATTTCACTCTTCAATTTGTGTACAATAATATAATATGATCAATTTTAATTCCAAATATCAGATTAATTTTTGTCACATATAAATCTCCCTTTTTGTGTTTCATTTTTTAAAACGACTGCAAAACTTTTCTAAACATAAAAACAGGGGGCAGAGGAATGTATAAAAAGTTAGATTTCATAATATTTACAAAAAAAAAAAAAAAAAAAAAAAAAAAAAAAAAAATTATTTAAAAGTTCTAAAACATGAATATTTGCATTATTTAAAATATTTTTAGAGTACATATTTACAACCAACAGTTGTGAAAATAAAGACCGGGTAAGGAGTTTATCGGGCAAGGTGTATAATAAAATAGAAACATTATTTAAATGCAAAATAAAGCATACATACAGTCTCTTTTAATTTTTTTCATTAATTTGTTTTAGACAAGTTATTAATTTGTTTTAGATTTTTCGTTTTTATTAACCAAAATTTTTTTTTCAGTCTTTAAAATAAATTATATTGTCCACTTAGATTATCATTTTACTTGACTAGAATGGGGGAAAAAAAAGAATGTAAAACTAACTCTTCACTAATTTTTAACCTCTTAAGTACTTAAAAGGTACTTTCTGATCAATCCATACCTCTGGTTATTTATCCATACTTTTGAAAAAAAAATTAAGAGTGATAAATTTTATTAGTTCAAACATTTTACACAAAATAAAATATCTGTAGACCACCAATGCTTTAAAAATCAAAAGATACAAATTAACCTCAATATATGAAATCAATTTACGTTAAAATAACACGTAAACAACAATTATTTTAGAAGTCAAACAACAAAAATCAGCGGTATATCTGCAAATTTTCAAGGACTAGTTTCAATGCTTTAACTACCAAAGCATCTTTTTCAGCTGCCAAAGTGCCAATATAACGCCAAATTTTTTTGTTTGAGTTTTAAAATAATACAAAATCAAGTTTGAAAATAATTTTAAAGAATTTAAGAATGAGTCATTGCATTAAATTTTGTATATTTTTCAAGTTCATAAGTGAAAATATAAAAATGCAAATTTAACGAAAATTAAGTTTTTGCAGCCATACTGAAGTAATAATAAATTTTGGTTGTTAGTCAACTTCTGGAATGTTAATATGCCCCAGGCATTAGGCGTAGAATGAAAGTAAATTAATAAATAATCTGAAAGTGAATTTATTAAGAAATTAATTTTAAATACTCAATTAATCTAAAACATAATTTATTCAATGTAAAAGTTTTTAAATAGCATTTTAGAAATCTGTTTTTCTATACTTTGGAGTTACACAATTTTTTTTTAAGTTTCATCATATTTACTGAATAACAGATGATAAGCTTAACACCAGTAACATTACTGCACACAAAACTGTCATGAGAGATCTTGAAAAAAGGAAAATTTGTTTTCGTTTTGTTCCTCACATGTTAACAATAGAATAAAAATTTTTTTTTTTTTTAAATCAAATTTCTGTATGTCATGATTTGATCCAAAGAGAGGAAATTAATTTAAATGTAAAAAAGAATTTAAGTATGTAATTGTTATTATTATAACTATTACTACCACTAGAAATGACACTTGATGGCCTGCTTATGACAAAAAGGAATTACTTGTGGCAAAAAGGAATCACCCACTTGGAATGGAGACACTTTTTACCATGGCCACAGAACCTTCAGAAGAAATCTTTGTTTTTAGAAATCGAGTAAAGAAAATGGTAACCAACTTTTTGATTGTAAAGAAATAAATTAGCATGAGTTTCCTCCTGAGGGATGAACTTTAAATTCCATATTTTAAAAGATGTAATAACTGATTTCTAAAGGGAATTCAGCTCTTTAAGCATGAAAACGATCAATCAAATATCTGGTTTCTATTGTGCAGCAATCCAATATCACACAATTCCATTGTTGTCAAACAGTTTCTAGCAAAGAAAAAAGTTACAATCTTCAGCCTCCTTATTCATTTGACACTGCTACAAATTTATCTTCCTTGAAGTGAAGTCTCATCTCACAGATCATTATTTTAACACCACTGAAGAAATTCACAGAACTGTAATCAGAAATTCAAGCGAGTATTCCAAAAAAAAAACTATGAGAAAATCAAGCAGCTGTATGGGCATCTCAAATGTATATGCTTATAAGTACTGTATACTAAAGGCACTGTGTATATCATACGCATGTAAAAATAAGTTTTTTGTGCTGTTTTGTATATTAAAATCATGATGTAGACAAGATCATGAAGTAATGTCGATAACTATTTATTAAAACAAATTATTCATCACAAGTTTAATCATAAGCCCATATACAGCTAGCTGGTCAGTCTCCACTTTGCTTCAAATTCAGCTGTTGGCTAAACTTCAAGACAGCAAATGCATGAAGAAAATATGAAATATCAACTGAAAGAGGAAACTACATGCACATACAGTGCTCTGTTACCTTAAATTAGTTATTCCCTTTCATAAACTCTCAATATCCTTACATTAGAAGTAACAGATTACTGCAAATATATTAATGCCCATGCCAATTCGAAAACTTCTTACAGTATTTCAATACAGCGATAAATTACAGAAAATAAAGAAACAAACCTCTGCAAGTAAGAATTATCATAATATATACCATTCCCTTCACTTTTCCTTTTTTCTACAAAATTATATTTTCTTGCTAACAATTGAGATAACTTTTATCCAAAAAAAAATTAGTTATTAAAAAACTACTGCATCAGTATTCTTTTATTCTGGCAACTAAAAATCATTTGCTACATATTTTTATCATAAAAAATCACACAAATCTGCCTTACCACGGCTGTTCTTCAATCCACTGCGCCAAAGCACATCGAACTTCTATTGGAAATGTATCACCATAAACAGCCCCTACTTGTCGCTGGGCATCCCCATGAAGCTGCTGTAATCTCTCCCAAAGAGCCATCTGAAATAAAATTCTCACTTAAAAATTGGGTAAAAGTATAGTTTAGGGTACACCTTGGCAAAACTTGGCGATTTTTGGCGGTACATGGATACTGATTTTGTGCAATTCTTTGACTCGATATTTTGGCTTACGAAGCGGCAATTTTTGCTCTGCAAAAATTGCTGCTACACAAAACCAAAATAACAAGACAAAATTGCACAAACTCGGTACCATCGACTTATTTTCACATAAAAAAAAATCTTTGAATTGCACAAAAATGGCATTGCGCACGTCTTTGACTTTATCCATGTACACGTCGACCTATTTTCACTTAAAAAATCCCAGAATTGCACAAACTTGCATTGCGCATTCCCTTTACTTTGTGTGCACACAACGATATATTTTCACTTGAAAAGTCAAAGGAGCACCAAATTCTATAATATAGGCAAACAAAAATACATAATTTCAATAAAATACATTTTAAACCAAACAATAAAATAACATAAAAAAGGAAAAACATGTTATACATTTAAGCACTTCCAAAAGCAAATATTCACTTACCATGATTTTCGAGTTCGCTTCATACACTCAGAGCCACGTATAAATCAAAATATCAATCATACTCAAATGACTTTTTTCAAACCAGGTTCTCTTTCTGATCGAACGCTTCACATAGTGACCATCTGAACCTTTCTTCCTCTAAACCCATTCAAATCCATCTAAACGGTTTTTACCTTCGACTAGACGCATATCCTTCCTACATACAGGACACTTATAATGGCTACTATGTAAACCTTCATTTACACACCAGTCAATTAAAGGTCTTTTCCCCTTTCGCTCCCAATCGTACAGAAACTTCAAATTAGTCTTACTACATTCGTCCATTCTACCGTCTAAAGAATCAAACCAACACACACCACAAAAATGCTTACAAAACATCCCATGATTCAACATTTCGCAGAATCATGCACCCGATTACGTCACAATAGGGTTTCCATAACATTCAACTACTCAGGCTACCATAAATGAAACAACAACTTCACCATAGTACAAGGGGTACCTTAAAGTCTATTCTACCCCTAGAAGGAAATATGAAATTAAAGTACTTACTCCAAAGTACGACAACTGTATGTTACCAAATCAATTATATTTTATTCTTCATCTTTGATATTGAAATAAGCATTAATAAAAATAATTTTATCAACCAGACAGACGAATAAATTTGAAAATCAAGCATGGGTAATACGCATCACCAGAATTAACGTTGCACTCAGAATAGTCTTTCTTCATCAGCTCGAAACAAAGTCTTGGTGTAAAAAGAACAATCAAATTTTGATGGCAGTCATTAAGCGTATTTTATTAATCATGGTATTTCTGCATTTCCATTGCTGGGTGAGAAGGTGCGTTGTCGATCAATAGCACAGCCTTTTCAGGCAGATATTTCTATTTAAGATGATTACACACTTGAAGAACAAAGATGTTTTCAAATCATCCTTGAAAAATGTTTCGGCCCATCCGCCATCCTTTTTTTTTTTTTTTTTTTTTTTTTTTTTTGGTTAAAGTAATCAACACGCAAATTTTCTATCTTTGTGCCTTTGAAAGATCTCGCTTTTTTTTACTTTCCAATGACAACAAGTCTAAGTTTATGTCCGCTGGTAGCGTTACTGCAAAACATGATAGTGATCCTTTCCTTGCTGCTTTTATGATCCCCTGCTTTACTTTCACTTTCAAATGCTAAAGTGCGAGTGGGAAGACATTTCCACAAAAGTCCCGATTCGTCGACATTGTAAATTTGTTCAAAAGATAGCTCTTCTTTTAAACAAATTCTTCAAATTCATGGTGGAAATCGTCGGCTGCTTGTTGGTCACCACTAAGTTTCTTCCCATGAAGTCCAATTTCTCGAATTCCATGTCGCTGCTTAAAACGAATCAACCAGCCAGAAGACGCATCAAAATTTCCTTTCAGGCCTAACAACTCAAAAAAGGTTTTTGCCTTCGCCACAATAATAGGACCATTTACAGGAGTACCCTCTTTCGAACTTGAGCTAACCACTCTGTCAATGCCGTGTTTAGCTCATCAAAAGTAGAACCCTTCATAGTTTTTTGCGTTTTCATTGAGGAAGCACTGTCCAACATTGATGCAAAGTTCACCAGTTTGTCTTTTTGCTTTAGACTGTCACGCACTGTTATTTCTGCTAATCCGTAATTCAATTCGATCTGCTGCCTTGTAGCGTCATTTGCTACTTTGGAAATTAATTCTAGTTTTTGGGCAATCGTCAACATAACCTTCTTTTGTTTTCCTGACATTTTAAATCGGTAACGAAAAACACAAAACCAAAAAGCACAAGCACTGAACACAATAAAAGATAAGAAATTAACTCCGACCAGTTCGCAAACACTATCAGGCTTAAACTAACAATGGCGAGTGGGAGGAAGTCGACGTGTCAGTAAGATTAAGACGAGAGAGGGCGGTGGAGCGGGCACTGCAAGGGTGAGTAAGAAATCACTTACATATCAGAGGGGAAGGTTCCGAGAAGGCCTGGGATATTTTTGCCCTAAATAAGCACGATGTTAGCAAATTTAACGTTTCGCTCAGTTTTGTGAACATTTTTATTTTCTTTGCTTTACGCTTGTTAAAAAAAAAAAAAGAAAAAAGGAAAAAAAATAATAACTTTGTGCGGCAGGCGCGGATATTCCATGCACAGATAATTGGGGGTCTACTGTATTCTACGTTTGGCAACTGTTTTCCAGTTTTTAACCCTTAAAATATTAAGAGCTTTTTCGACACAATCAATTGATTCCCATGGGCTATCGATGGCCCAATCGATTCACAAACAATTCCCATGGGCTTTGCCAGAAAGATGTTCTTGCAACAATCTTTACTGATTCTAACCAGATGGCCACTCCATTTAAGTCTCTGTAATTTGACGAATTTTACAACAGGAATAGTTTATAGACAGCAAAAACACATACACCACATGGCAAGTGACGTCACTTGTCATGCACCAAAAAGTATAGTAGGTGCATAATGGAAAAGCAGTTTTAAAGATATCGAAGCAACAAATCAGTTGTTCTTAATTCAAACAGCATTAAATGACCTATGTATTTTGGTTATGAATATCATTCACAAAATATATTTTTAGAAATTTTTATTAAATTTCCCCTTGCAACTAAACTTATGCCAACAGAAAAAGTTACCATGCTGTTTGGTATTTAACTACAGATATTTAAAATAATTTTTGTTTTAGATATCACTTAATGAGCCACTTCTCAAGCTGTACTGAGTTGACAGTCATGTGGTAATAAAAGAAAAAAAATATTAATAAATAATTCACCAGGTTGGCATAGGTTATATGATATTCAATAGGCATGAATCAGTGATAAACTTTGACTTGAGATGAATGTTGTAAAAAAAGGCGGCTACACAGTCAAATTATTGATCATACACTTATTCTAATAAATGATTGTGTTTCTACAAGTCTCATGGAAGTGTGCCAAAGAGAAATTGATAATCAGGACCCTCCACGTTTTATTATGAAAAATATATACTGCATATGTGTGAAGCATTACGAACATGATACTCCAAGAAACTAATTTTCCCCCCTTTTAGAAACAAATTTTAAAAAAAATAGCTGGTAAGCAGGAAGTCCAAATATTGACCATCCGGATTTCAGACTTTGAACTGTTACCATGTCTGAACACTTTCTCTTTATATACATACACACTTTTGCAAAAAAAATCGAAGCACCGAGGACTTGTGCATTCGTGACGAAATTTGGTACACAAAAACATCTTGATCAAACATGCAAATGAGCAAAGTTTCAAGGTAAATGAACAGGATTTGCGACCATAACGTGCAGTTCGCAATGTATAAAACCAGTAACAGAGGCGGAAAACTTATATTTTTTGTTGTTGCCATTGTAATTCCGTAAAGAATTAATTAAAGATGCCATTATGACGATATCGAAGACCTTACAGACAACTAAACAACCTCGAACATGGTTGCATTGTAGAGTTGTGTGAAGGTGGGTGGTTATATCGAGCCATAGGCCACCACCTGCAGGGTACAGACAATGCTGTGCAAAGATGTTAGCAGCACTGGTTGCTACAAGGAAATTGCCAGCAAAATGAAGGCTCTCGAAGGCCAAGGCATACAAATGCGAGGCAAAATAGAATGATCGTTCGCCAGGCCCGAACTGCCCCAACGGTATCATAGTCGACTATTCAACGCGCTACAGCCATGTCTATACCTCCCATGGTACCGTCCACCATCTCACAGTGCTTTGTCTGAGGTGGGGTTATGCTCACAGAGGCCTTTAAGACGTTTGCCTCTGACCCCACAACATCGGCGGAGTCATCTGGGGTGGTGTCGCAGCCGATTATCATGGCTGCCATCAGACTGGCATCGTATAGTGTTCAGCGAAGGTTCCCACTTCACTCTTGAAGCAGATGACCACCATGTTCATGTCTGGAGAGGACGGGGCCAGCGGTCCCAATTGGCCTTTGTTTTACAAAGGCATACACCCATAACCCCTGGTGTGGTTGTGTGGGGTGCTATTTCTTTTGACAGCAGATCATCTTTAGTTATCCTCTGTACATCTTTAACAGCTCAACGATATGTTGATACCATCCTGTGGCCGTTTGCATTACCCTTCATGGCACATCATCCTGGAGGGATTTCCCAACAAGATAATGCCAGGCGATACCGCTCGCATATCTCTGGACTGTCTCCATGTGGTTGATACTCTTCCTTGGCTAGCACGATTACCAGACCTTTGACCAATCCAGCATCTCTGGACTGTATCTGTGTGGTCTATTCCTTGACCAGCAAGGTTACCAGACCTTTGACCAAGCTAGCATGTCTGGAACGTGGTAGGCTGCTAGATTCGGGTACCACAAAATATTGACGATCTGGAGAGACAACTGATGAATGCCTGGCAGAATGTGCCGCAAGATGACATTAGGAACCTTTACCACACCCTTGCCTTGACGAATTCAAGCATGCATTGCCGCCAGGGGCAG